TTCCTCTTCCACCAGCAGTGAGGATCCCATCATCCTCACCACCAACGCTCCCATCCTGCCCAAGGCACGCCCTGGACACCGCATTTGAACACCACATGGGTGGGACCATCACACCTCCCACCCCATCCAACCTCGTTACAAACCCCGAGCCATACACATCCACCCAACCTTTCTACACCACCCACACAGGGCCCTGTCCAAGTCACTATCCCACGGCCCAGACACAATGGGCACATTCTGCCCTTCAACTTTTCCAGTGAGATACACCATTACCTCAACCCCACCATACACCGCACACGTCAACCACCTCTCGCACCCAACACTTTACCGCCATGTCCCGCTCCACAGCCAGCCTATCCGTCAAGCCCACCCACCACCACCGGCACTGTGTTCCCACCAGTACCACCTATTCCCGACACTCCACTGACTGATCAACAAGCAGCCACCCTTCAAGACGCCATACTACGCATTGCCCGACTGACAAGCTGCGGCCGCTGCTGCTGTCAATATGGCTCGCCGCTGACTACGTGTCCATGCGCCGCTGACCACTCCATGTCTCACCACCGCTCGACATACCGACCCACCATCGTCCAACAAGCAAAAAGTACAACGCTGTTGTTTTGTCACAATTCAGCTCTCCAACACATTACCTGACATCATCGATATCCTATTCTCCAACACCGCAGCCATTTTCAGCTTTCAGCTTTCTTGCTATCCGTTTTTCTTTCGCCCCATTCATCGAGACTTCGCACATCAACGGGCCCACGATGGACCATACTCCAGACTGCGACGAGCAATCGGAAGTCCTCTTCGTCTTCACAGAAGATGCAGCAGACAACCAGTCACCGCCTGCGACCTCCCCACCTCCAACTGCTCCACCACCACCACACCTCACAGAATCAGCCGACCAAGCCTTTTGGTCTGGGGTCTATACGCTAGACCCACCTCACGCCTTGATGGGCGTGTTGACCGATCTCCACATACACCGCTTCCTTCTACATCAACATCTTGCCACACACACAGCACTCTCTGAAACACCCATTGGCCATCAGCCACTCACCGACACCCTACCGCAACCCATCCAACGTATCATTGCCATCTACCACAGCAACCTGCAGCGAGCACAACATCACACACGCCTTGCTCTCAACGCAATTGACAGTTTGGCTCGCTTCCCACCAGCTGCCTACTTCACAGATCCCAACTTTTCCACCTCAGATCCACAGCACCTTCCTCATGAGGCCTTTTCAGCACCCAGCGGCTTACAACCGGGACAGCCTATCCACATTCCACCCATCAGACGCTACCCACTACCGACCGCCTCCAACACAGGCAATGTCGTCCAACATGTCAGCACCCAGACCAGCTCACCATGGGTCTCAGTTTTGGACACACCCTTAACTCCTCCAACCTTCCATCAGTCGCAACAAACCACCCCTCCTCCAGCCACTCACAGCCGGCATATCCATCCAGACACGCCGACCACCAACGACCACTACATTCTCACACTCGACCAACTAAATCTCCCACCACACCTCAACATCTTTCTCAACGCCAACATGAACAGCACCTACTATCCCAGCAAAGCACGCTACTTCCTTACATTCCAAACGGCCTATACAAAATGGCTTAAGCTCCAGGGACTTCCACCATCCCTCACACAGCATTTGCAACCCTTCCTCGAGCACCAATGGCGCCTTCACAACACCCATTTAAAACAACATCCCAGATTCACTGCCCGCTCACTCAGACAGCTTCAAGAATATCTCGGCTCACACACCGTACTTCACCATGCCGATCACGAACTCCAACAGCTCCGTGTTTTTTGTCCTCGCCAATACTTTACCGGAGCCCTCAACACATGGCAATCTCCCGAACTTTTTGCACCACTTCCATACCTGACAGCCACCAACATCCACGACCACCTCCAAGCCACTGTACCCTCCACCCTACGCACCCGATACAAATGGGGCTTCCGCAAGGACTTCAACATTCCATATGGAGTGGTCCACCTCAAAGAGAAGAAGCACTGGCAGAAAGGCCGCACCATCATCTCCTATTTCCACTCCCTCAGCGGCAACCTCCTACGCATCACTAGCCGTGCCTTGGACATCATTCTCCAACACCTCTATCCACAACATCCAGGCCAACTTTCCATCCCACAACTCTGGCGCCATTTCCACTGCCACCTCACAAAAACCCCAGCGGACATCTCCCTATATGCCACCAACGATGATCTGGTTGGCTTCTTCAACTCGGTTCCCCAGCACCGCCTCATCGACGCGGTCCATTCCATGATTCAGCACTGGCAAGCACAACAATCCACACACACCCTCACCATTGACGTCCACGCAACCGGCCACCCATTCCACCATTCCCACATCGGCCGGCATCACCAAAAACACCCCACACAACGCACCATCCAGACCTCCGACATCACCACCATTGTCGCCTATGCACTCGACACCTGCATTTTCCGGGCATGCAACAACACTTACAAGCAAGTCCGAGGAGCTGGGATTGGATCCCAACTCTCTCCTGCCCTTTGCAACGTAGCCATCACTCTCATCGAACACTCCTGGCACCAGATCCACAACAACCTCCTCCAACACACCGACCTACACTTTGCATACTACCGATATGTTGACAACAGATTCATCGTCCACAACGAACACTTCCTCCAACACCCCGCCATTCAAACCCTTATCCATCACAACTTCTTTGGTGACCCAGTGGAACTTGAGCCAGTGGACGACTTTCACCTTCTGGGGTTCAACATTGACTTACAACAACGTACCATCACCTACATTCAACCTCTACAACCCTGGAAAATCAGGGACGCAACCAGCGCCGAGAGCCAGCGCTTGGCTCTATCTGGGCTTCACTCAAGACTTCACACAATCCACAAATACACCTTTCCACCTTCAAGCGCTGACGCTGCTGCCACTGAGCTGGTGAAGCTCTACGTCCAAAAAGGACACGACCCAACTGCTTGCAGCCGATTTTTGAAAAGAAAAAGCGCCGACTACGGCGACTTGTGTGTGTGTCACCCCCTGTGCCAAAGGGTTCAACACCACCGTTTCCGCCACCACCATTCCACAAGGCAGGGGGCAGGAGTGCCATTGCAAGTCTCCTGCCAACGAAGACGCTTGCAATTGGCAGTGAAACCAGACCTGATCAGTCTGGCGTACCTGCTTTCAACACACTGACTCCAATGGTCCACCCTGCCGCTGTCTGTTGATTTCATGGTTCTTCTTCATGCTACTCCCCCCAAACAGGTTTCTTACAGCAGCCGTCCGCAGCCTTGCACCGCTTTGCAGCCGCGTTTTTTGAGAGCGAGTGGAAACCATGTTCAACCATACTGTTCCAGCTGACTTTTCCACCTTGCGGTTCTTCGCCTTTCTTCCCATCGGGAAATTGAGTGTAACTGAAAACCAATGTCAGAGTGTGTGTGTGTGTGCGTGCTTTTTTTGGGGGGGGCAGGTGCGGGATGGATGGTTCGTGCAGTGTTGCTCGAATTCCGTGAGGATGTTGTGGTGTGTCAGCAATTTTATACCGCTCCCCTTTAAACATCGTGCAGCTTGAAAGGTCCATAACAAAGGGGTCCCAAGGACTAAATCTCATGTGGAGGGATCCTAAGTCATAAGGAGAGGTCCCAAAGACTAAATCTCCTCATGATGAGGGGCCTGACAGAGAAAATCTCTTCATGCAAATTGTTTTTCTAAAGGAAAGAACAGACCTTACTGGCTCTGGTATCCAATTTTGGAAAATCGGACATCATTTTTGGGGAGAAGGCGTGTAGTATTGCAAGACAAAATGTTCTATTGTATATATATATATACAAGGGGGTTGTTGATCATGGCTTTACATTGCTTGATTTTATGCTGGACTCCGCTTGCTCCTCACCCTTTGCTTGGGTATGGTAGGGTAAGTTGACAACATGCATAGGCAGTGGACTCATGAGGTTCCACCCTGTTGTGATCCCGCAAATGCTGCCCCCTACGTGGGGATAGCAATGACGTGCGTTCGAACGAGGACTGGTGAACGTGTTTCTCCAGCAAGCCACTGACGGACAATGTGTTTTAACATTATATAACGTGACAAAGCTGAAACTAATCTTTACTGCGAACCGGGCATTGACTCCATTGACCTAGCTGGTGGAAGCATGTCGCAGCAATCGCGTCCTTGGATGCATCGGAAAAGAGGCAAGTGGTGATGTTCATACTGCTAGCTAGCACCTAGCAAGTAGGACCACCATCAGAAGGTGCTGTTTGCCTCTCTGCTTGCTGATCACCTAGGCCCGGTCAGAAAACTATAGGGCCGATTACCCGTTTCAGCTCAGAAAGTGTCTCCATGCCAAATTGTTGATTTGTTGGAGCATGCATGCTATATTCATGCCAACCTCTGTGAACAAGGCATCAACGTGGCTAGGATATCTAGGATTGGCACCATAATATTGAAGTAACCTTGTGGCCATCGAATCCTCTAAAAGCAGCACCGGGTGTATCGTAGGACGACCACCCCCAAGAGAGCATTATCAGATTGACTGTTCAACCAGACAAAAATTCCTCGTGATGCCCGCGCCACTGCAGCAGAAGTGTCAAAATACCTGCACTACTCAACTCAGTCTTTTGCAGATGGATATGTTTGGCCTCGATCTTCACATGTGATGGTATGGAATGGAATATTTGGAAGCTATCCCCTTCCCAAGCGAATACATGTGAATAGTGCTAGTGGAGCTGCATGGCTTATATAAGAGAATAAGTGATGTCATGGCCTTGCAGGCACCCAGCGTTAGTCGACATTCCTGAAAGCGAAGAAAACACATGAGCTGTTCCGGGGCACCTTGATGTAGGCTCGAGCCAAGCACCCACCAGACAGGGCTTCAGGGTAACTGGGTTGGACCATCCTCCGCCGCCTCGCATGGTGTCATTCCTGGGCATATATACCATGCGAGTCATGCAGCATGCGCGACAATCACGGCCCGCGCTCGGCTTGAGGCAATCCAAGAAGGTGCGGAGCCTGAATTTCTTGCAGCCGCGGCCACATGTGTATAGCGAGTATACAAGTACACGAACATCAGTGAACACCATCCGTTGGGCCTCCAATTTGAGAGAAATCTGGGTACCACCCATGCTTGTTGACCCTTTAGCAGTAAGCTTTCGCAGGTCTTGGTGATGAAGCCCCGGCTGGACACTCGCTTTGGATCCTCCGCCGTCCAGAGCCGAAGTGGCCTCTCCCGGGAGGTCGAGCCAACATCGCACTGTGAAACGCGTGACGGATTCCTCTCGCAGGCAGATGTGCTGATCACCTCTGAGACAGAATTTCCGACGGACATGCTCATTGGGGTAGTGCTCTTACTGCTTGGAGGCATTTGTGATAGAGTGTGATTCGTGTGAGCCGTGAGGTCAGTTGCATTCTTGTTGACGAGGCTTGGAGGCTTTTCGATGAGACAAGGCCTTTCGGATTTGGCCATTGCTACCGCTTGGCGACGTTTCAGGCGCAGTTCCTGTCCCCTCGCGCGGTGGAGAGATTGCGGAATGTGGCAACCATGCAAGGCCAGGATGTGCAAAAAGATGCTGCATACCATAGAGCGGGAAGGATTGTGTCCATTTTGACCCGTGAGGAGTGCCAGTGATGTGCTTTGGTCTACGCGCCTGGGTGTCATATTGTCCTCAACAATTCAAGGCGTATTGCAGCTGTGCCAGCTCAAGGTACGGACTTTCGATCGCGACTATTTCCTGGATCAAAGCGGCTGATGGAACTGGCCGATTCCATCGAGGAGGTCTTTTTTCTCTAAAAATGTTTTGAAGTACCTTGAGGGTGAGCAGTGTGCGTGCTCCAGGTCAAAACAACTTGCGCGTGCTGCAGCAAGACTCTTCGACTGGAACATACAGTACTGGAGCCATGTGACAAAAGAAGCAGCATCATTGGCCTTCAGCAAGCATGTGCTTGTCTCATCATCACCTGGCCCCTGTGCGTGTACGTACAAATTGGATCATAATCACCGCCCTTCAAGCGCCACGGCAGCTGTTGCAGCGCCCCCTCTTGGTCTGGCACCCGCCACCCAGGAAGGCAACGATGAACCTGCGTAGTGGCAAGCTCAGAGAATATTGACACGGAAGTACCAGCGCCATGCTCGACAAATCTCATGCTCAAAACGGGTGTAGTGGGCTTGACTTGTTTCGACCCTGGCCTGTTGAGCCCTTGCAAAACCGATAGGGGCCAACTCTATACCGATACGCTTTCTTGATTGAAAGTAGCTTCTTGCCTGTATTCCAAAACACTGGAAACCGATAAGGACCAACCAAAAATACTTGTGGCACTGGGGACACCAAGAAGTTATGTCCACATAGTCTGATGTTACTGTATATGATTCATATGATGTTTCAATTTGAGTGTGAGTTCGGACATGTTCGGACTCCACATTTTGCAGACCACTTGCGCCCGCGTGGCCCCCGCCACCAAAACTTTGTTCCCCCAAGGCCCATGTGCTATCAACATTTCTGCGAAAAGATCGTGGAAGCGACCGGGGGGCCGATCGACTTTCCTGCTGCCTGGGTCGCAGGCGCTGCATTCTGCTTGTTCTGAGTGACTAGTGACTGGTGTCAAATCGACCCCCAGGCGACGTGGCCGACACCAAGCTTGCCGCCCTGCAGGATATGGAAGAGAGGTATCGGATAGAGGAGAATGTGGGTTCTTTTTTGTGGCCGTGGTATTTTGCGCCCGTGTTTCCTTTCTTTTGAGTCAATCAATTCTTCTGACGTTCCATTGGTTGGCCCTGCGATAATATTTTGGACATGTTAGAACACGTCGGTTTCCTTTTCGAGCTTTGTGTTTTGTGGATGCAAACGATCAGGAGCCCGAGCTTGAACGGTCACCTGAAAGGTCATCAAGCTCAGTTTCTGCCGGCCCCGTCAAAACGCAGTCTATGTTTGCCGGGCCCCGACAGTCTTGGCTGCCAAGTGTCTGAGGTGATTTGTGGGATGGGGGGCTTGGCACAGCCTGTTGCAGCTTGCATAGAACGAGGGGTTCCAGAGCTGTGCATGTGAGTCAGAGGTGTGCCGCATGTGATTCAGTCCGCTGCTTTTCACCTACAGTAGATTCGGGGGTTTGACGCGTCCTGTGGTCCAGGCCAAGATGACATCGAGTGCTGAGGGGGCAGCTGTGGCAACCATTCTGAGTCAAAAGAAGCGGTGAGTTGGTTCTCTGGCTTTGCTTTGTGGGTTTGTGCTCCCCAATAGGATCTTCTCCAGTCTTCTGCCTTTAGCTAGCCTTTGGATTGCTCTCGTCATTTCTCTAATTTATTCTTTGTTCCTTCCGCTGGTTCGTACCAACCCGTTTAATTTCCCTCGATGCTGAGTGTGCTGGTTTTGGAAAACAAACATGCAGCCGATCTTGCAGCTCATGGTCGGCAGAGCCAGTTGCTGGATGCTGCAGACCGCAGGCTCAAGCTTGTCAGCCTATTAGTCAGCCTGCGCTGGCGCAGTGCTCAGCAAGAAACGAGTTATTTTGATAGGAACAAAAAAGACCCATGAGTGCAAACAGAAAGCTCTCAGGTCACAGCAAAAGCGTTACAACCGTTTGCTGTGCCACGATTGAGGCGTGTGCATGCGCAGACGGCGGACTTGTGAGAGGGGCCGCCCCAAGGGCATCACCAGCAGCTTCGACGCAAGAGTTGAACAGATAGAGGCGATAGAGGTAGAGATAGATAGATAGATAGATAGACACAGATAGAGATAGATAGACACAGATAGAGATAGA